GGAATTGGAAACTAAGAGTCACAAGGGTGAAAATAAGGGTCTCTATCTCTCTGTATTATAAAAATCTAAATCACCTTCTGGTGATAAAAATTTGGTACTCAAAATTATGACTCCAAAATTAAAGGTCAAAATAAGGATCAGGAAGGTCAAAATGAGGGTCACAATGATCAGATCAAGTGTCACAAGGGTCAGATTAAGGTTCGTGAAGGTCAGAATAAAGATTACGAGGATCATATCAAGGGTCAGAATAGGGGCCAAATAAAGGTCACAAGGATGAGATTAAGGGGCTAAATAAGGGTCACAAGGATCTGATTAGATATCATAAGGTTCAGAGTAAGGGTTCAAATAAGGGTCATGGGCGTCAGAAACGAATGGTCAGAAATTAAGGGTCACCAGGGTCAAAATCAGGGCCACAAGGATTATAGTGAGGGTCGATTACGGATCACAAAGGTTAGATTAAGGGTCCAAATAAAGGTCATGAGAAAATAAGGGTCTCTATCTCTCTATATTATAAAAATCCCAATTAACTTCTGATAATGACAATTTGGTACTCAAAATTGAGACGCCAAAATTAAGGGTCAAAATAAAGTCTGACGGCGCCCTCTATGACGTGAGACTAGACAAACGCGGCGACAGGCTTTCAAGATATTTGAGATATCGATTCGATGTTTGCGACATAACTCTTGAGAAATGACGTCATGACGGTTGTTTCTTTTAAATAAGGAAATCGATAATTCGCTTACTGAAAGACTCAAAAAATAACAATAGAAGGTTGTAAGAATAAATATATTAAATCTAATGGCCGAGGAAAACCCTGCGGTACCTAGACGAATAAAGTAGATATCAAGTACTTTGAATTCCATAAATCTATTCAATAATGACGTTTAAAAAATAGATTATGAAATTCTGTACAAAACGTCTGATAATGTTTTTTATAACCCTCTTCCAATTGGATATGAATAGATAAATAGAGATTGTTTTCATGTTGCAAAATGCAATTGATAATTTTATTAACCCTAGTCTGGTCACCTGACGGAAAAATGCGACTTTAGTCACGTTCACGGGAGAGTGCCGCTGTGTTATTTAGGCTCCAGCGTTGCCGAATCCACTCTACACTTTCCGGGTGCATTTACCGAGTTCTCAGCAACGTCGCGCAACAGGCAATTTCATTTAACACGGGAAAAAATTGTTCACCTGTTGGAAATAATTTTTTTTCTCCCAGAATTAAGGATACATTATTGAAAAAAATACCAGAATTTTCCAGATACTTCAATTGACGAATTCAATTTTTCTAAAAATTTTCCGGTCAACCAGTCGATGGCAAGGTGAATAAAACGACGTGTTGCGGCAATTCCATCGCATGGTGACCAGTCTAGGGTTAAAATCAATTTTCCAAGTCATTTCATGAATGAGTAGATTATGAAATTTACTGTAGAAAACAGTTGGTAGATAAATTTTTCTCAATCTTTTCCTCTCTGAGTTACGGGTGTAGAAAAATCTTCAATCCTGAAGTTATGACTGTTGAGGAAATAAGCTTCTTCTTTAAGATTCAAATATTCAAAATAGTTGTTGGAATTTAAGACTGTAATTACTCCATCGTTTTGTGAGAATAGGCGAGCGTCACTACTGTTGTAAGTAATTGCGATTGTAACGGGAGAATTTACGTGGTCTTGTTGAGGACGAAAAAAATGGGAAAATTCCGAAAATTCATACACAGAGAGAAAAGCGGGATAAAAATTACCTAGAAAATCGTGACAAATTTAACTATACGAATGGTAATCGTGGAGCGAAATGTAATTCAGTGAAAAAATACTGGTTTGTGGTGGATATCTTACGATTTTCTCGGCAAAGAAACACATCTATGGATGCAAAAATTATTCTCCTATTTAGTCAAATTTTCCACACCGGTAGGGCATTGTTTGTTTAATACTTATCTGCAGGTCATGGGGACGGACGGAAGTGAATTTTTACCCAACGGGTTCGGTAAAAATCATTCTCCGTTATACACTCAGAAAAAAAATATTTCTGCCAAATATTCATTTGCTTCTGAAAAGCATTTTTTTAAAAATGGTATTTCTCCTATTGAGTCTCGCCTAGGCGAGCCTGATTAGGTTTCAATTATAACACGCATGTTACTCTAGAGGATGATGTTGTATTTGACCTTGGATGAACTCCTCCAATGATTATTCATTTTTCCTAAATTTCTTATTTTCTGGAGGGAAGAATTTCGATTAATTTTTTAATGTTTATAATTATTGAGGGAGTGCACTTAAGGTCATAATTGAAATGCTCATCTTCTGCAGCAATATAATTGTCATAATTGACACTTGATGAGAATTGCCTGGCTGGAGAAAGTGACTCGACTGGAGAAATACGGTATTTAAGGAATTGATACTTCTCTTAAGTGAATGGATATTTGGCAAAAATAATTTTGTTTCTCAGTGTGGGGTAAAGAGGTTCAAATTTATTTATATGACCTAAGAGGGTTTGGTGAAAGTTAGAGAGGAAAATTATTTCTTACTGTAGATTGGAGCCCCTTTCTTCCATATTCGTCCAAAGTTTAAGAAATTTCTAAGAATTGGTTTCGAAAATATCTTCAAAACTAATAGATTGAAAAAATACCTATCAAAAGCCCTTTTCTTTAAGGAGAGACTACTGTGAGTTTTAAAAGTCGTGGGTTATTGAAGTGAGACTTTTCATTCGTTGAAGATCCATTATATAGATCTGAAAACGAAAAATTACAGCAAAAAAAAATTTTTTCATTGTTCGTTTGTCCGAAAACGTTTAAATTGCTAAAAACAGTCCGAGGCCTCCAATTTTATAGCTAAAAAAGATTTTTTTTTTCAAAATTTTCGGAAAAATGTGTGGAACAATAATTACGAGCCAGTTTTTTGGAATTCGACTCCTACACAGCTGATTTCAGTTTTTTTCATATAAAAAATTCACTATTTCTGTAAAAAAATACAAAAAAAGAAAATTTAGCCATGTAAGAGGCGAATTAAAAAAAACTATCTCGTTATTCTTATTCCACATATTTTTCCGAAAATTTTGAAAAAAAAAACCTTCGTAGCTCAAAAATTGGAGGCCCTGGACTGTCTTTGGCATTTTAAGCGTTTTCGAACAAACGAACAATTAAAAAAAATTGTTTTTGCACTAATTATTCGTTTTCAGATCTATATAATCAATCTTCAACTTATGAAAAGTCTCACTTCAATAACCCATAACTTTTAAAACTCATAGTAGTCTCCCCTTAAACCCCTTCATTTCAAAGATCTTCACGGAAGAATTTCAAAATGCTTTTCAGCTTTATCATCCTCCCTGAAAAATTGTTGAATTACCATTCTCACTGGTTTATTGTACCATCCAACCATGATATACATAATAGCATAATTCTGGTTCTTAAATCCCGTATGATGCATTATGCAATATAAAATCAGGCTGGTGCACGTGAGTCACGGCTCGAGTGGCTCCCCAAGTGTGTGAGTTTTTGAGGGAGACGAGATAGGGAAAAATAATTTCAGGTGTCGTTGAACAGATGTAATGTTAATTAGGGGATGGAAAAAAAGGGGAATAAATGTTGGCTGTAATTGAATCTGTCAAGAAGTCAGGAAAATATGGGGTAATGAAATAAACGCTTTCACTCGAGTGGAAAAGGGGTGGGAAATGTCTGATAAAGGGTATCCATAGTTGGGGAAAATTCGCGGGTAATTGAGAGGAAAAATTATGGGAATTCAATTTTTGAAGTTTCAACATTGTTTTGGAACTTTTTTATAATTTACTTCTTCACAGAATGAATTTTGTAGGGAAGTGCAGACGAATGTCAAAATATTCGGAATGTTGTGTCAAAATATCTTGTGAACTTGTGGTTTAAGAGAAAAATATCCTTAAAACATTTTCTATGGAGAATTAAAATTTTTCGAGAAATGTTTTTTTTACATTTTCTCTTAAACCCTTTACATTCTAAGATATTTATAAAAAACGGAATGTTGACTTTTTATTCATCTCCATGGTTTAATTACGCAATCAATAATTGTTCATCCTTGCAAAAAAAAACTCCTCATTTCTTGGATCACAAAAAGATAGTTATTTTTACAGTTAAAAAAAAAATTTTATTCTATTTTATTTTTTAAATTTATTTCTAATCGCATCGACAGCGTGGTGATTAGCGACTGTTTATAAAAGAAAGAAAATAATAAATAAATTTCAATATAATTCAATATAAGAGATGGAAAAAAAGGGAAAATTGAAATAAATATACAGATAAAGATATATACATGAGAATTCAATAACTGGATGTGCTCAGAATGGTTACTCCCATATACTATATGTTTCAGATCTTATTTATGAGTTTGGTTGCTTTAAAAAATTTTTCAATTTTCGGATAGCAGTTATCTCCATTTAAACAGTCTTTCAAATTATCTGTTAATCTCACCTCTGTTCGGATTCTATCATACTCGGAGCATAATAAGAGGAGGTGTTCCACTGAGATACAGTTTTATTATTCTTTGGAACATTTTCGTAATTTGCTCCTGTTGCGAATCGAACACGCGTGTCCCTGAAAACTCCAAAAATCAATGTCCGGTGGGCAACGAATAAGGCCAACTTATGAAGAGAATAAAATTTTGAACGAAGTAAAATTTTTAAATAACTCCGAACATGGCAATACCAACCGCATCAAATTTATTTCATTGGGATTATTATAACCCTATGTATCGTATAAAAATAAATATCATTTCTGGGAGAAAATGATTAATTCTCAAAAGAAAATAGCAATCGAATACTGGACGATTCAGCTACTGGAGCTGAGTTAGGTACTGGGACATTTACCTTAGCTCTATATTACGAAAAAATTCTTTATCTCGAGGATTATAAAGAGGAAGTAGTTTCCCCACAGATAAAATTATGTACAAATTACTTCTCACTTAGTAGAATCTCCCAGATAAATCCATAAAAGAAAGAAAAATGTGTAAATTTAACGAGAATATTTTTCTCTGTCCCAGAATCACCGAGGCGTTATGTAGAAGGCGAAGTGACGATTCACTATCGTTCCCCAGTTCGCACGGAAGCTAAGGAGATCCTGAGTGAGGAAGAATTGGCTCGTAGAAGTGCCGAGAACATGCGTAGAGTTTACCAGGAAGAGAGACGTCGGAAGTACCTGCAAGAATTACATGACATTGATTCGAGAAGGCACACCGATAATTTTACGTAAGTACATACCTCATCTGATTAATTCACGGAAAGAGTGTAAAGTAGTAATTTATCCTCGGGTCATTCGCATTTCTAAACCCTCGCAGAAACACAAAGCAAATATTAATTAAATTTCTCTCGGAGTTGGGGAAAAATTAAAATGAAGGAAATAAGATGAAAAAAGTCTTCTGCGGGCACTGAAAGTGTGTGGAGCATTGTAGAAAAATATTAATTAATTTTTTTCGTTCATTAGGAATAGTAAATAGGAAGAGGAAGGGGTGGAGAACAAAATTTAATAGAAGAGGGTGAAATGTCAATTTGAATCCGGAATTATGCGACAAATATGTAGGGAAAAGATGGGTTTGGGAGAAACTGTTATGAGACTTTTTTGGTAGAGAATTTCAATAAAATTCCTGATGACTTTTTTCAATACGGCTCAATGGTTTCTGAGATAGTGACGAATCAACATAATCAATTTTTTCACTCCTACAATTTTGTCAAATGATTGGCACATGAATTTATAAATATGTATAGATCTCGATACTGGGTGCTTCTATCAGAAAATGTGATTTTACCTTTTTCGTACAAAATCCCATTTTCTAAAACAAAATTATTCAGCACATTTTTCGATAAATCTACCAGTTTTTGATATAGGGTGAACAGTCCAATTGCGGAAGAGGGGAGGGGGTAGAATGCTCTAGAAGGTTTGGTTAGAGGCTGGTGCAGGGAGGGGGGTGGTAGAATATTCTAGAAGGTTCGGCTAGGGGCTGGTGCGTGGTGAGGGGAGGGGGTGGTAGAGCGAGCGTCTGAGTGAGTGTGGAGGTGGGGGTGTAATGATGAGGGTCAAAAGGGTCAAGGAGAGAGTGGCTGAGGGTCATAAGGGTCACAAGGGTCAAGTAGCCGCATCAGCCCCTAGCCAAACCTTCTAGAACATTCTACCCCTCTCCCCGCCCGGCTCTGGACCTGATGACTCATTTCTCAAGGTTAAATTGGTCCAGAACCGGCTTTGATACACTACTCACTGATTCCACATTCATATACGAAGAAAGTCGAGTCATGTATTCATGTGATCGACATTACAATTTGATGTAAAATTCAAGCACCTATGAATAATAGTAAAAGAAAATTGAGAAGTCGGTCGAAACGTCAGTACCCGAATGGTTAAATAGCTCTTGAATCAGTACCCTAACGACCAAAGGCCCTAAACTCGAAACGTGCAGTTTCTTGTGCTCGTATACCACATTAAATGATTCTTCCAACGTGTCGAGTTGATTAAAGTTTTCATTCAATCAGTTATATATACAATTGTTATATTTTTCTCATAAAAGGTCGTCTTTGGCATTTGATAGAGTCTGCTCACTGCTCCTAAGCTTCACCCAGTTTTCAGAGCTGCCAATGTCTTCTCCAACTCTTCTGCATTGTAATTTTGCTCATTTCTCGTTTTTAATTTTTCCCTGTGATAGATCAATCATTAAACAATAAATTCTGCCCGGTGGCTTGGTGCAGTGGGTAAGTTCGATGCCTCACATGCGAAAGGTTCCGAGTTCAAATCCTAGTCGGGTATAGAATGGTGCGATCTAACCATTTAAAGTCTTGATCATCATCGCAGTATACCCTAACTGGGTCGAAGCGATCTAAAATAACGATAAAAAAAACATTAAATTCAATCATTGGAACAATATTTCAATGAAGAAAAGGATGATAAGGTGCGGGAAAATTTGTTTGACAGGTGAGGTAAAGTGGATCATTCCGAGTATAGCGACGTTCGGGTTTTCAATGCGTCAGTACCCGAACACCAATTTTTCTACGATTTTGCGAGTTTCTTCCCCTATTTTCGGATTTCAATCACTTAATCGACCCTTTTCTTCATCCTAAATAATGATTGTATTTAGTTGTTGCCTACATTTTCCGTTTGACACCCGCTACACCGACCAGCGTCCCTAACTAATTCGGTTAAGAGATGGCGCCTGAATGCGTCGTGTCAGTGCAGTCCGTCACATAATTAAAATTATAAAAAGATTCCGATTTTAAATGTGAAAAATTGAGCTTGGGTCGAACAGATCATAGTTTTCTATTTCTACCATAATTTAATTGAGAGTAAAAAAAGGGAGGAAAACTGTAAAAAAAATTAGAAATAAGTCATAATCAGTAATATGCGTTCGAGTACTCATACCCGTTCGGGTACTCTTATCTTGACGCTACATAAAGTATTTTTTCTGAAACCTATTGACTTTGGGGTCGATCAAAGTCAATATTTTTCCGTATTTAAAAAAAATATTTTTTCAAACCATTGTCTGAATCTCCGAAGAGCCTTGAGTTTTCCACAATTAGACTCTTCATCCAATTTGCAAACTGATATTAATGAAGCTATTCAAATGCCCTCGTGCTTCATTAATGAATTGACGAGGGAATTGATTAATTTTATCTGTTCTGCTTTATTGATAGACCATCATAAAAAGAAAGATATAAAAGTTATTAATGACGCTATTGAAATGCCCTCGTGTTTCATTAATGAATTGACGAGGGAATTGATTAATTTTATCTGTTCTGCTTTATTGACAGACCATCACAAAAATCCCCGATACCATTGAATCGCTACGACGACTTTCTGGATGACTCCAGCTACCGTAGCAGGTCACAGGAGCAAACACCGGAGCCACGACTGGTTGCTCGTGCATTGTACAACTTTGTGGGACAAACCTCGAGGGAATTGTCCTTCCGTCGTGGGGATATCATTCTTATACGTCGACAAATTGATAAAAATTGGTACGAGGGAGAGCACAACGCTATGATCGGACTCTTTCCACTTAATTACGTCGAGGTAAATTTTTTCCTCCATTCACCTTCATTGAAATTGATTGATAATTCGATAAAAATTCAATGAAATATAGCTTATTTCGCAGATATCTACGAAGTGAAGCGGTTTAGGAGAAAATGTAAAACATTTTTTTAGCAGATTATGTGGATTTCCCATGAAAATGAGTCAATGCCATTTTCCTCGAAACCTAATAATTTTGCAGATATCGAAGAAGAAATGGATGAAAATCCAAGAGATTCAAAAGAAAATCATAAATTATTTTGCAATAATCTGAAAATATCACAAAGTATTTTTTGTAAATGATGCAATTTCTGACGAAAAAAGTCGAGAGAAATTCTCGCAAACATCTTCATTCTCCAGATATTCGACAAGGAATCAGGACGTGAATTCCTCGAATGTCTGACCTATCTGTTTTCACTACTTTAAAACGTATTTATTCTCGTTTAAAGCAGATTTTACCTTACGACGGCACCCGGGGAACTCCCAAGAAGTCGTATGAGGGCCAGGCACGTGCTAAGTTCAATTTCATCGCACAAACGAATCTAGAATTGTCATTAGCGAAGGGGGAATTAGTGGTTCTCACTAGGAGGGTCGATGAGAACTGGTTCGAGGGGAGAGTTGGAAGTAAAAAAGGCATTTTCCCGGTTACTTATGTGGAAGTTATTGTTGAACCTGGTCAACATAGACCCGGTAAGTATCAATTATTCATTAAAAATTATAATTTTACGATTTCGCTGTGGAATGATGAAACGGTGTTTTGCATTCCTCCCGAAAGCGACAGTTTACAACAAAATGTAGTGTAAGATTTTTCTTATGGAATATTCTTTTATCTTCCAAAAAGGCCTTCATTTTGTTGTAAAGTCAGCTATTAGTCACTTGATTGCATCATTGACGAAGAAAAAGAAAGCAGGAAGAAAAATATTTCGTAATTGCGTAATTATGTTGTTAACAGCAGCGATAGCTTGAGATTGATTTAATTTTTTTATTGGCTCGAATTTAAATGAGCGATGTTTTTTATGGTGTTGGAACTTATAACGATGTGTGATAGCATTGGCAATGGGATTTTAATAGTAAAGACTTTTAAAAATAGAGATGGCCCTTTTGTTAATGACTCAATGTTATATTTTAGAATCAATAGCTAATATTTGGATATGGATGGACTGCAGTTTTGACACAGCCCTGACAAAAACAATTTGATGGATACAATTTTTAGCATTCATCAAAGTTAGAATTTACTTTTAAAAATTATCAATGATAAATAATCAGTTTTTGGGGAGTAAATGTATTTTCTTTATTACTCTTAACGATTGAAACGGAGTAAAAAATCGTAAGATTTTTTTAAATTTTGAAGCGCCCCTACGGAAACGTAAAATTGTTGCTATAAAGGTTGGATCTTGAAGAAAATGTCAGAAGATCTTCTTCGTAGCTGTAAAATATAAAACACGTCTGGCATTTTCTTGAATTAAAGTGATGGCTGACGATGTTTTCGGCTATCGAAGTTATAATGATGTGCGGTAGTGAGATTTTAATGAGATTTTAATAGTAAAGACTTTTGAAAATAGACATAATTTTAATTTGTATTTTGTTGGTGTCATTTTTGACATTTCGATAGACTCAATTTTACATTTTAGAATTAATAGCTAACATTTAGATATGGATGAATCAGAGTTTTGACGTAGCCGTGGGCAAAAACAATTTGATGGATCAATGTCTTGCACTTGTCAAAGCCAGAATTCATTAAGGATGTTTAACCTATCAAGTGGACAACTCAATTGAAAAGAAAAGTAAAATTGACTAAATAAATCATTCATATTACAAATTATTTTTCTCATCCAATTAGAAGTATTATGGCGTACTTTTCCGGTCTCAAAAACAATAATTAAAGAAAATGTTCATAGATAACGGCAGACTTCTGACTGCAGTGGTAGCAGTCGAATTTTTATCCGACAATATCGCACGCTTCGGCTAGTAGTCGGGTTGTAACAGTGAGATGAATGCTTGTGTGTGTTATACATGTCAATATGCTTCCAACACTGAATTATCGTCACCGACTTTACCGATCCCGATCAGCTGTTGTGTGGTGTTGTCGTGTTGCTCGACTCGTAATGGCGGTCAAATTTTTTTTAGGTTTTGGTAGACAATACGTACCCATGCCAGATACCCTGCTAGAAATTGTCACATGGGGAGTGGGTTGCCAGAGGTAAGTTTAGGACTCTTCGGAACACTATATAATTATATAAGTGGCCGGCGAGGTGTACGGGACCTCCCATTTCGCCACCTCTTTTTAAAAGGCAAATTTATTTTAATAAATTAATTTAAGAATAATCACTTTCTAAATTCACGAGCATGGTAAAGCATCGAATTACGAGCCTTACCAGCTCTTGGCATTACCCAAGACCCATGGCGCGGACGTGGCTGGCATCGGGTCCCAAAAATTCCCAAATATAAAATTTATATTGAGAAAGGGACCGTATAGTCTACCAACACCTTTTTTTAGAGGAATTCGAAAATCAATCGAAGATATCACCCCTATATGGCTCAGTCCCCTACTTGTTTTCGCCGGCGATAGATTCTTCATAGACTAGAGTAAATGGCTTTTGGTTTTTTTTCAATATCTTGAGTGTCTAACCCATGCAACATCTGGATCAAAGTTCATACGGTCACGTTTCTTCCCTAAGCGTAATGTTACAAGAAGTGATTTTCAGAAATTAATTTCTCACTAGAATGCCCCGATGGAAGGATTAAGATTATTACTAATGTGTAGCTCAAATATGAATCTGGCATATGAGACAATATTAAAATTATGGGGAATAATCTGGGTTTTGGTTAAACATCCTTAAAAAATGTCAGTAATGAATAAGCAGCTTGTTTTGGGTAGATTAAATTTATTTTCCTTGTTACACTCAGCGACTCAACTGGAATGCGTTGATAGTACTCTGAGGCTGTCGTGCCTCATTATTTGGACATTTCCGGTAGTGGTTGCTCGTATGTTTTAATTTTCGAAAAACATTGCAATTTTATGACTAGTTTGGTGAGTAGCAATTTCCTGTATAGTTATATTGAATTTAATTTAAGTGGGGAAAAATCATAAATTTTTTAATTTTACTGATTATTTTCTCCATCACCCTTGTGACCAAGAGAATTGCGGCAATCAACGTCCTATGGTGCAATCATAAGAGAATTATATCGATTATTTCCCCCATCAGGCTTCTGAACAATAGAATTGTGGTATTCGACGTCCCGTGGACCAATCAGAAGAGAATTATATCCAGAATTTCCTCCCTCCTCGGTTCGCCCAATCAGAACACAGTATTTGAGGTCACATGATACCTTCACGTTGGTTTTATTTTGACAATTTTCTCAATTCTGATTTTGACCAATCAGAATGCAGTATCCGGTCACGTGATACGTTTCACACCGATCGGATTGATAATTTCCCTGTAGCCTGTCAATTGTTTTCTCTGATTTTGACATTTCAATTTGTAAAAAAAGCTTGTATGAGGTTGTGTTGATTTGATTCGAGATAAAGAATTGTTTAAAATGGGTCAATTTGGTCAGAATTCTTTACGAGAAATTGATAACAAGATTAACCATTTTGCTTCAGAATGGAAGTCTTGTTTTTGACCGATTTTTCGATTTTCTAATTTGATTGCAAATAGTCTAGAATTTTATGAAACGTGAAGAATTGATGTTTTTAGGATCATGTCTGTATACGGAGAGAATATAAAATTTAAAATTACAATGTATAGTAATCGACGGATCATACCAAAAAAACATTAAAATTTGATTTATCTTGACCCAATATTTACTCGTGACAAATTAAATTTTATTTTTATTCTACCACTTTTCACCATACCGACTCGCAATTTTTACTATGTTCAACAGTAAATTTTTAGTGTGGCGAGTATGGTTCACGATTACTATGTTCACATAGTAAAAAATATCGTTCGCTACTCATGGGAAAAGTGTTTTTTTGGCACTCGCGTTCGGTTCGTGCTATAAACCTCCCACGAGCCAAAACCACTTTTCCGCACTGGTATAGAAATATACTATTTTCCGTGTAATACGTAGGTTTTTGGTGATTCAAAATTCAACATGAATACGGAAAATTCAACATAAATACGGTGAAATTTGTAGATTAAAATCTGAAGTTTTTACTTATTATTATTGAGTTAAAGTTTGACGCGCAATTTCAGCCCGTTTCAGCCCGATCGGTCCAGTTCGATAATTCCTAAAATATAACAACGCGTTCAAATTTCGTTTTTCCTCAATATCTCAAAAACTATTGCACCGATTTCAAATTTTTTTTTCAAAATACTGGACTGAACGGCCTCTATGTAAGTCAATCAGAATATATAGACTCCTTAACATACAGTTTGGAGGTATTGCTGTTTTTCCGTTTTTCATGAAAAATCCTGTACGCACAATAACTTAAGAAAAAAAGGAGCTGACAAGTTGAAATTTTGTATGATCCTAGCTCTTATAATACTGTAGTAAATAAGAGAGTTTTATTTCATTGAAGGAGTGAATTTATTTTAATGACAGCAAGAGAGATAAATTCATTCATCATACACAAAAGACTAACTCCTCGTAATTAATACATCATTCAATTGTTACTTGATTCACACTTCAGGGGGACGGAAAGGATTATTAATTCATTCCAAGCATTCCATAATAATACTAAAGGTGCAGACATGTTCGCTGAACTTTGTAGTTTTACGTTTCAGACCATTCTACACCATTTCCAATCAAAATTATAAACTGTAAAAATAGAACGTTCACAATGCTTCCCTTTAAAAACGAAAATTCCACAAAATTTACCGGAAATTTCCGCCAAAATGATGAACGTGAATATGTTATCTGGTTATATTCTTAATAAAGTTTAACCACATTCGCTATCAGCTCTTGACAATGATCCTCCATAAACTCTGTTAAATTTTGTTATTCCAGAAACCCCAGTATCAGGTAAACCAGTTGCATCGCCTGCGGCCCACAGCATGCTCTCGAATGGAACGGCGAGTGGAAAATTGAGCATGGGACCCCATCATTATATTCCATCCATACCCGTGAAGACGAGCACGGCTGAGCCTCAGTATATCTCACTGGTGCGTTTCATTTATTCCATTCCTCTCGATCCTCTCCACTCTCGTTGTTTCTTCCTACGTAATACACTGAGTGAATTCCTTTTAGTAGAAATTCTTTCCTTATTTGTTTTTGAATCCCTGGGATTCGTAACCAGGGGAGATTCCTCAGTATTTGAGGAGGAATTTTTCTACTCCAGTTGCACGACTTTCTAGAATTTTTTCGTTGTTGAGTGGAGGAGGATGAGTTGGAGTTTTTGGATCTAATGGACGAATTTGGAATAGTTTGCGCACTTTTCTTTTTGATCATGTTAGACTGGTTATGCAGTGGTGAAGGGGAATTTGGTTACTTATTTATGGATTTAGATCAGTAATGGGAGGGCGAGGAGAAAATTTTTGACGTTTTTATCTGAACCGAGTTATTACCGAGATAATTCCACAATTAGAATAGTTAATAAAAAAATCCTCAAGGGTGAAATCATTTCAACCACGGCTGGTTTCACGAGACAGTATCAGAAGACCTTTTTGGTAGCTGATGAAATTTATAACAAAAACATCTCTGGCCTTTTTTGCCAAACTCACTGATTGCAAAAATAATTGCATAATTGTTAGAAGAGAATGGTGAATTAGTTTTTAGATCTCATGAACCAATTAGGAGGACTTTCTTCACTTTTTCTTTTGACAATGTGAGACTGATAATTTAGTGGTGAAGAGGAATTTATTTAATTAATTATGGACTAATGAACGGGCGCTTCAACAGAAAAAACAAGAAAAATAGGATGAGAAAAACTTGGAAAATTTGAGCCGTGAAGATTCCATAGAAAATATTTCAATAGTATAAGTTGTATAAAAAATTCGAATTCTATTGATTTTTTTCTATAGAATATTTTATATTGAACATTTCAATAGAATTGCCCAAAAACTAATAGAAACTTCAATGGAATTGTCTAGCGAATTCACTAGGTTTTCCATTAAATTTTTTTGTGCGTGTCTTAAAATAGTTTACATTCTTTTCTATTCTATTCCTTTGATTGCCTATATCCCCCTCTTATTAAAGTAGAGGGTAAGTGCCAAAAACTAAATGGTTGACATTACACGGCTGACAAAGTATTTTCAGACGAATGCGATTATAATCCTCACCTTCGATTCGGATTATAAATTAACATTCGTCAGAAAATACTTTATGATAAAATCTACTACGATATTTTCTCACAAAACCATTCATTACCGAGATAATTGCATAATTGTTAGAGGAGGATGAATTAGTTTTTAGATCTAATGAACCAATTTGGACTACTTTCATCACTTTTCTTTTTGATCATGCGAAACTGGTAATTTAGTAGTGAAGGGGAATTTACGCAGTTAATTATGGATTTATGTTGGTAATGAGACGGCTGGAGGAAAACGTTATCCATTTTTTCGTGAAATCACTGATCAACTAGATCATTTCATAATTAGAACAAAATAATTTTAAAAGCTTTTACAAAATGTAAAATTATTCTAGTAACGATTGGTTTTAAGAGAAAATGCCAGTCGACCTTCTTGGTAGCTGAAGATATTTGCAATAAAAAATACCTTTAATATTTTCACATAAAATCACGAATTTCAGAAATAATTGCATAATTGTTAGACGAGAATGAATTAGTTTTTAGATCTAATGGACGAATATGGAATACTTTTCTCACTTTTGTTTTTTGTCATGTGAGGCTGGTAATTAGTTGGTGAAGGGGAATTTAGTTACTTAACTATGGATTTAGATCGGTAATGAGTGGGTTAGAGGAAAACTTTGGAGATTTTCTCATGAATACTTTCCTCCGTGAGAAGATTTCCCAAGCAAAAAAAAATTCTGAACCATTCCAAAAACGCGGAATTATCTCAGTAACGGTTGGTTTTACGAGAAAATGTCGGAAGACCTTTTACATAGCTCAGGTACTTTGCAATAAAAAATGTCATTTTCTTTCAACTTTAGGTAGCTGAATAGATTTGCAATAAAAAATACCTTTAATATTTGATTTTTAACGTGATTTGCCGCAAGGGGTTTGTGGCTGGCCATCGCACGAAGGCCTTCAGCCTTACCTTTAATTTTTTCCCACAAAATCACTAATTTCAGAAATAATTGCATAATTGTTAGACGAGAATGAATTAGTTTTTAGATCTAATGGACGAATATGGAATACTTTTCTCACTTTTGTTTTTGGTCATATGAAGCTGGTAATTAGTTGGTGAAGGGGAATTTAGTTACTTACCTATGGATTTCGATCGGTAATGAGTGGTTTAGAGGAAAACTTTCGAGATTTTCTCATGAATACTTTCCTCCGTGAGAAGATTTCACAAGCAGAAAAAAAATTCTGAACCATTCCAAAAACGCGGAATTATCTCAGTAATGGTTGGTTTTACGAGAAAATGTCTGAAGACCTTTTACATAGCTGAGGAACTTTGCAATAAAAAATGTTGTAATTTTCTCCCTAAAACTACCCATTAAGAAGATAATATCCCCTTTCCACTGAATCCTTACGTGTTTTTTCTGTAATAATGAGATGATTTGGGTTTGCAGCCACGCATTGGTGTCACTGAACGCAACAAATTGCACGTCGCACCTGTCAACGAAACGTTGCACATCGATACACACTCGGATACGTTACCGTGAGTGTTCCTTTCTATTTCTAAACAATCTTTGAATAAGAAAACTTGAAACGTTTTCTGCAGAAGAAGTTACTTTTGTTTTTTTCTCAATAAAAATAGCAACATCTTCGATATTGTCACATTTATTGAATTTTTTCTTGTTTTTTTTATCGTTATTTTACATCGCTGCGACCCGGTTGGGGTATGCTGCGATGATGATCAGGACTTTAAATGGTTGGATCTCACCATTCTACCCGGCCGGGTTTTGAACTCGGAACCTTCCGCATGTGAGGCAACGAACTTACCCACTGCGCCGAGCCACCGGGCTACATTTATTGAAATGAATTTATAATATTCAAAACATGATTAACGGAGATTTTGATAAATTTGATTAGATAGGGAAGACCGAGCTCAAATGAAACCACTGAGAAAAACGACTACTTGATACAACTAAGGAAAAATTTTTTTTGTTTGTAGGTGAGGTTCAAATGGTCGTAAGGATAAAAAAGACGTGTGTGGTTCGAAAATCAAATTATCCTTTCTGATCACTCTGAACACTCTTAAAGTAGCTCTACCCTTCGGCCGGGCTACGCTGTACTATTGGATATTTTCAGTTTTTAAATTTTTCGACTAAATTGCATGGAAAAAATTTGAAAAAATTCATACCCAGTCAGTATTATCTAAATTAAATGTCGCAAAATATTGATATTTTTTCAAATATTTCCCTCTTATAAATAAATAATAAAACTTGTTTGCAAACTGACGGATTATTTTTTATGAGGTGTCAACAAAATTCTTGATTTTTTCACATCAGTTTTCAATAATCTTTGAATTTACCGTAAGGGGAGAACTACTTGAAGAGGAGACTGCTATGAGTACTAATATATTGTCGTTAGATTTTTTGGAGTGAGATTTTTCATGTATTGAAGATCGATTATATATATCTAAAAACGAATAATTACTGCAAAAAATGGATTGTTTATTGTTCATTTGCTCCGCAGACAATTGAAGTGTTAAAAATAGTCCAGCGCCTCCAATTTTTGAGCTACAGACCTTTTTCTCAACATTTTTGAAAAAAAGTGTACAATCAGAATTATGAGTTATTTTTTTTTATTCGACTCCTACTCAGCTAATTTTTTTTTATAAAGAAAAATGCATCATTCATGTGAAATATTCAAAAAAATGATCCTCAAAGTATTTAAAATATATTCTCCACTCTTTTAGAAATATTTTTCTGGCTATTTTACATGAATTGTGCAATTTTTTAGATTAAAAAAAAATTCGGATGTCTAGAAGTCGAATTTCAAAAAACTAGCTCGTCGTTGTTATTGTACACATTTTTTCAAAAATTTTGAAGAAAAACCTCTGTAGCTCAAAAATTGGAGCCCCTGGGACTATGCGGACTATGCGGGTCTTCTTCTTCTTCGTTTCTCTTTTATGTTTTGCGTTCTTTTTTATTTTTAGGGACCTAGTATTGTACTATATACATATATACTATCCTATATATTTATTTTTCACAGAACTATATTAATTTTTTTACAATTGAAAAAAATAAGGAATAAATAGATATAAAAGCACATAGTATATATAGCATGTGTTATATACCATATATAATATATATTCTATAATATATACATGTATACTATTCTATACAAATTTTTTTACAGAACTATAACTTTTTTTATTACAGTAAGAAATTAATATCTCTTTTTTTTACAATTACTGGCTTGAAAAATCGTTACACTGGTTTTTTTATCGCTAGTCTGGTCACCAAACGCGACCTTGCGACTTTGGCCATATCTGCGGGGATTCCCCGCCGTGTTATTCAGGCTTTAGCGTTGCCGAATTCACTCTACACTGCTCGGGCGCGTTTAGCGAGTTTCCGGCAACATCTCGTCATGTGCAATTTCATTTAACATGGGAAAAAACAGCTCATCTGTCCGAAAAAATTAGTTTTCTTTGGAAATTTTCGGAAATATGTTGTTCTAAAAACTACTATAATTTTTTCAGACACTTCAATTAACAAAGTAAATTTTTTTAAAATTTTTCCGGTTAGCCAGTCAATTGTAATTAACGAAAAAGGACGCGCGGCGGGGTTTCCCTCATAACGTGACCAATCTAGGGTTAAAAGTGGATTTTAAGCCTCTTCGGGGGAAACGACCTACAAACAATCGATCGTCAATGTATGATAAACACATTCCACACTCCAATAGCCCGTGATTTTCAAAACTCATAGTAACCTACTCTTAACCATAAGCATTCTGAAGGATTCTCTGTCCCTCAAAACCAGTCGACCCTCAACTAGAAACAAGAATCAAAGTTTCCTAAATTGTACTAAATAGTCGATTTTTTCATATTTTTGATTCGCTGCACCCCACCTGAAAAATGAATTTTGATTCATAAATATCTTAAAGAGAAGTGGTTTCATTGAAAAGTGCCAGAGAACATTTTTTATAGAAAATCAAATCACGTTCAAAAAATGTTTTATGAAATTTTCCTCTAAACCCAATATTTTTATGGATACAAAAAGATGAAGAGATAAAAAACGAACGAACTTTTTTCTACGCCTGATAATCCCCAAAAATGATGATAAAACAATTTTTAATTAATCAGGTATCGAGCTCTGTACAACTACAGACCGCAGAACGAGGACGAGCTGGAGCTGAGGGAGGGGGATACGGTCTACGTCATGGAAAAATGCGACGACGGATGGTTCGTTGGATCCAGCCAAAGAACTGGATACTTCGGAACTTTCCCTGGAAATTACGTAGAGCGTTTGTGAGGTGAGGAGATGCCCCACGGGGCATCCCACACCGACAGAACCAGGAGACAACGGGCACTCAAGAGTGTCGCTATTCTTTTACCAAAGGAAGAGTCAAGAAACATTGAATATCGTTGTTAATACTGATTATTTTAACAATTAGTATCTGTTGCTTTTTTTAATTTTAGTTGTGGAGTTGTGAAATGAGTGAGTTTTTTCATGAATATCTTGGGATAAAAGGGAGATCGACCATTTTTGTTGATTTTCGACGTACAGCTACGAAAAAGACTTGATAGGAATTTTATGTATCTTGATTAATTTTTGAGATAATGAACAGAAACTTATCTCGAAATTAAATTGACTCATCTCATTTCACTCTTGTGCTGATTTCTGTGGGGAGACCATACTAATACGATAAATTTCACATTTTCAAATTATTAGCACCTCGTGGTCCTATAGAGATAATTGTGAAATTGTGGAATTTTGTTTTTGTTGTAATATCTGTGGTTCTCTCGAAATTTTCTCTCCACCTTTTCCCCATTTTTTCATTAAATCAATCGACGTGGCGAAACTCTGGAGACGAAATTACTGTCACGAATCAATGGTCTTCCAAAGTATAAAAGAAGAAAATTAAGTAGCAAAAGATGTTTTTTTTTTTCATGAAGAAAGGAAGAATTTCTGAATTTCTCTTTTGCTTCTGGAATTCGCTTGATATTTTACAATTAGCGTACACCAAAAATAACTTAGAATTAATGGATTATTAATTGTAAGTAGTGTAACATAGAAGTTAACTATTTATTACTCGTTATAGGGATTATCCATCCAGAAGAAAATTATGAGAAAAATTGTAGATCAATTTATCGTGTTCTACCAGAGAAATTGTCAATTTTTTAGTTATTTTCTTCAATTATTAATTTTTGGGAATGAATTTATGTACATAAGATATTTCCTGATGGAAGAAGTTGAATTTTCCAGGATTTAACAGAGAAAAATTCATCGAAATTGATTTAATTGCATTAACAATCAATTTCGTAATAATTTTTCGATGTTTCAAGATCATGAAAAATTGAAATAGAATTTTTTCTCTGTCGAATTTTTCTCGTTACCGAATACCAAAACTCCAACACAAGTTAAAAGAATGATTTTAAAGAACTAACCAAAATAATGGAATAAAACGTGTTCTTCGATTGTTAATGTCTTTATACTTTATGACAGATGCCCACCACTCATAAAAAACAACAGAAAATATTCAACAAAAATAAAACAAAGATACAATTGAGAATGAATATCGATTGAAGTGGTAGAATGTATCTCGTTTTGTCGATTATGTAATTATTTACATTTTCTACGAAGAATATCTTTCAACATGTTCTTGTAAATCCGAAACTTCTGAAACAATTTAACATCCATAGATGATGTTACACTTCCGGATTTTCTTCCTCTTGTCTTCGTAATAGGGAATTTGCATGTTTTTTTTTGCCTTCAAGTATATGCCCCCAAGAACTCATATTTGATAAGAAAACACGGAAAATAGTCAAATGATGAGTTATTTGCATTGAAAATTTGGATTTTTTAAACGTTCTAAAAAGGCCTGTGACGTCAACTCACCGGAGACCGAAATTGTCGTGTGGCGCCATCAAGCGGTTCAGTATAACTGCTGCAATCTAGGAAAATACTCTATACGTATATTTGGCTCCAAAATGTCAGAAAAACTGAATCGAGTGATGAAAATTCCTTATAAATATTGTTTTGTACCAGGATATAAAAATACAACAGTGAAAATTATACAACCATGACTTTCGACACTGGCACAGATTTGAACCCATAAAATCTATCAACATAGTCACGTCTACCGTTGGTAAATTCTCCGAGCTCGCCTTTTGAAAATCATTTTTCAGCACAAACTTCATTTGTTACTGCCAATATATTTTTTTATCCACTTTTAAGAATTGTTTCAAACATAAACCCCTCGATTTGTGTTGGTTGAACGTCTCGCACTGTGAGAGGCTAGAATAACTCAATAGCGCTACTAGTAGTCGCAAGGAGAATTTGATCCCGGTGCGTCGACGTCGTGATCCCAAAAAAGTGTTCAAAATTGATGCACTTTTAATCAATTATTACAAAATATCCCGACCACATTCCAGAAAACTTTTTACTCTGGAATGGTTCATAGACTCCAAAGACTCTACTATTCATTTGAAAATAATCCAAAACTGGACTCTATGCAAGTTCCTTATTACGGAAAAGATGATTAGTTTGAGAAAAATATACAAAATATCCTACCATTTCAATCGTTACTCAAAACAACATAATAATCCACTCCAATTATATTATGAATTGTTACGATGTTTGCTAATGATAAATAACTAAAAACAATTATAATTAATGAATCATCGGGCTCTACAATATTACGATAGCTATGATTGCAAAGTTTTGCCTCACAAAATTCATATTTTTGTAAGCATTATTTATACATAAGCTTATATAGATAACTAACATAAAATAAAAATCCTAATATCATGAATAAGATGGATGAGCTAATTGCGATGAATAAAAAATTATTAAATGGAATTTAAGGTTAAACAGATTTATTGAAAAAAAAAATGAAGATATATATGAATAAATAATATAAATAAATATTAAGCTTTGAAATTTTATTGAAAGAGGGATATTAAGAAAATGGTACTAGCCTCATTGACACACATGAAAATGTGTTAGTTCAATAATTGACAATATTGGTGATGATTGATTAACGATTAATCGTTAATTGACATCGATATATGTAGATATTTATGGTGAGTGGGCTCAAGATATCTGAGAGCGATGAAAATCACGAGGAAATGATTTTTTCAATTATAAATTTCACAGAGAAACGTATCTAATTAATTGATCGAATGGTCAGTAAATAAATTGATTGATTTAAGTTGGTATTATTGTGTTCAGTTGGATGTGATTCACTGATGTTTTGATGAATTTTCAATGGTAAAAAATTGAATATTGCCTTAAATGTTTTAAAAATACGAGATGTTTCTCTGTGAAAAGAAAAAAAATGTTGAATAACAAAGAAGAGATATATTAAAATTGATAATATAAGATTCTCGAGCATATCCCAACGATATTCAATACGACAAATCATTTTTTTTATCTCATTCGGAGAGCCTTTGAGGATTCGTTCAATTTCTACGGAAACTAATCATTGCCAAATTTCTGGAGTTTAATTCATTGATTCATACTATCATGGTGATTGGTGTAATGGTTGGAGAATAGGTACTGCTGACGTTGTCATTATACATTGTACACTTCGGGTATTTAATAATAAAAAGCCTAGTCTGTAATGCTAAACAAACATTGACGATTTTCATTCATTCGTAGGAAGTCCGGAATCTCATGTTCATTACTTTTGGAATTATTTCGAGAACGATTTCGATTTCTTGAAAAGTTTTAACCCATTCCACAACCAAGCGTTTTCCCACGTTTCGCCATCTTGTAGTAGTGTGCGTCAACTGCCGTGTTTCTCTTATGGCGCACTATCGCACTGACGGTCCTCCCACTTCTCTCACACGTAGCTGATCGTAGACGTTAATCGTTCAATAGGAAGGAACTTTACTTTATGGAAAAGATTTTTTTTAACATTGTTCAATTAATTCAGTTCGAAAAATGACCGTCCAAATCTTTTCAATTATGGCTTAAAATATTCGTTTGGATGTTATCTCGGCTGAGTTCGAAGATAGTGGCCATTGCATCATTTGCTTGGAAATGATAGCCTTAAAAAGCATTTAATCGAGGTCTAATCATGGTTTAGTCGGGATTTAGTCGGAGTTTAGTCAGAATTTAGCCCGGATTTAGTCAGGGTTTAGTCGGGGTTTAGTCAGAGTGTAGTCGGAGGTTAATCATGGTTTAACCAAGGTTTTGTTAAGGATCAATCAATGTTCAGTGGAGGTTTAAACCAGTGTAATTTTAATTTAGTCGGCCTCTGTTAGATGTGTAACCAGGCCATATGGAGCTGATGTTAGACATTTGGGACACTAAGGGATCATATATCTGGTATATCTTCTTCCCCAATTTACCATTCAGAAGCAAATTGCTAATTCATGAACAAAAAAGTTATACTGGTCTTAAGTCCAGTTTAAGGAAATCTAATTAGGGGAAAACAAAATTAAAATAATTTACTTACGACCCAGGACACATCAACATTGATGTATAAGGAGCATGAACCCTTGTGATATCAAATTTTACATTCATTTTGTTTTCACTCACTCTAATTAAAGATAATTCAGTTCACTAAAAAATTTTATCTCAAATTGTCTTTAAAAAAAACTTAAATTTTCTTGAGGTTTTTTTTTATTGGTTTTTCTTGAGGTTAAACTTCAGGAAAAATCCCTACTAATCTGAAATTAATTATAGAAACCGAATATGCACTTTTTTGTTTTAATTCGATTAATCCATTCGGAAGCAAATTGCTAATTTTTAGCAAAAAACCTATACTTGATTTAGATCTGTGCAATGGGACAAAAGGGCGGAGGGTATTACTCAAATTGTGATGTCACACGATATTTTTTTCCACTTTCAATCGAGGAAATGCAATAGGGTATTTGCAAGAATTTGTTTCAATTTTCTAAGCTCAAGTTGAGACCTGAGTAATTCATTTTTCAGTCGCAAACATTTCAAATATTGCACAGTAATTAAAAAGTAATTGTTAAAAGTTGAAGATTTCAAACGCTTTGAAATCGCTAATGACGTCACACGGTCGAGCGCTGGACCAATCACAGAATGGCTCGAGCCGACCTAACCCAATCCTGAGATGCCCGTCGGCCAAGGGAGGAGGATAACTACCCACTCTCTTCTTCTTCGACCAATGAAGCTTTTACCTGACCGTCTTCGTGACATCATGGCCGAAAAATTGGCCTCAAAAAACGATTGGTTTTCAATTAATTATCATAAGACATCTAGGCAACATTTCTCCATAATTTTCGCCGTTTAGCTGTCCATATGTTATGAGGTATGTGTGAATAGGGCAAATAGAAAGAATTGAGCTTCATACAAGTTCCCTATTATCGCAAATGGAATTCTATTCACGTCCCCGTTTTCTTACGAAAAATGGAGGTGTTTCATCACGTGACCTAATTATTCGAGTCAAGTAGTAACTCATCGAGAACAGCCGAAATATATCATTTTTGCTCGTCGTGCGGGCAGTTACTCATGGTCGTTTGAGGACATAACATGGAGTCTCTTATCGCCTGTCGTAGACATAACATGTTATTCATTGACACATGCCGTGTCAAATTTTCATCGACATTCATCGGCTCTCCTCGAGAACGAGTAATTCATCACCAGACGGAAACTCCTAGCATGTGAAATTTATCACTGTGAACTTATCGTGGTATAATCATCGGGAAAACTTGTCTTGTTTAATTAACGAATCAGTCAACTTATTGGAGAAATTCATCTTCATTTCAGTCAACAATCGAGTCACAGAAAATCACCATTTCCCTTTTGTTTATTGAATAATTATCAGTGTAAAGTCACCGTAAATTAAACCCGCACTTTCAGACCTGCACCTAAGGTATTTATCGTCAATCCAGGAAGTTAATAGTGGATCTTTGTAATATCAACGTGCACATTATTATTAGTGAATCAATGGACTAGACTTAGACTTAATTTTCGGTGTTATGATTGATAAAATCGAGTCCCTCAACCTACACTTTTTCCCCTTCAGAACCATTCTGAAATTCACCGAGACTCATCATATTTTTAACAAGAGATCTCATCCGTTCTTCAAACTATCTCAAAGATTCATGAAGCGGAATTTCAGAATGCTGTGATGACAAGAATTTAATAAGTTACGTAGGGTTCAAAGAGCATCGCATAAAGATATCATTGTTCAATAAATCTTTCACATTCTTCTCCTTATTCTTGTTTTTTTAATTCAATTTTATGAAAGTAATAAAAAATTCACAACAGAAGGGGAGTTGTGGATTTTGGAGTGTAATGTAATAGGGAGTCCATATTTGTGATGGCTTGCTGCTGAGGGGGGAAGAGGCCACAGTATTTAAATGGCCCTTGAATGTGTCTGTGCATATCAACTTCCACTAAAAAAATTATTCCTCGCTAGCAGCCCTCCACCCCCCTCTCAGCGTTTCCGAAAGAGTTTCTTTGTGTTATATCTCATTTATTGTACAGATTTCCTGAAAAAACGTCCCAATTTTGTTAAAAGCCCGGATTTTGTCTAACATTAAAAAAAAAACCGAATATTTGCCAACTGTCGAAATCGCAAACATTTTCGCAATTTTTTAGACAACTCGAGAATTTTCTCGACCTTTCTGGAAAACTGGGGAATATTCTTGGAGGCTGCAAACAATCCCACAATTTTCGTGTTAATTAAAACTTTGTAAATTTCTAAGTAAGAAAATCCCAAGAGTTTCAAGACGATCAGGTATTTTCTGACAGTTTCGTTGCAATATGAAAGAATTTTCCTAAAAAATCCAGGATTTTTTTTTCTTGAAATACTTGACATGATCGTTTGTTTCCAGGGAAAGTTGAGGGAAACCCGATTTATTTCCAACTTTGGGAGTATCAAGAAGATTATTTTTTCCTCAGAATTTCGGCCACAATAATTGTTTGCGGGCGCTTTGTCGCTTGGTGATGGCAGCGAGAAATATCCGAAATGAAATCGTCTAGGTTCCCCCGGCGGGAGGAAAATGCAACCATTCTATTGGCTGAAGGTGGACGATATTTTAAGGGAAAAGATAATCCAGATAGTTTTAGAATTTTTTATGAAAGCATCTTGTATGCAATAGGGAACTTGCACGAAGTTCAATATCTGCTCATCACTCGTTTGATAGATTGTTCATACCCAATAGACAGCTGAATTACTGAAAATTTCACGAAATTTCACTTGCATAATTTATAATAATGATTTGAAAATTAGGTCTTTTGAATGCTCTGAAAACACCTCATGACGTCATCTCACCGGTCAATGACGTCTCTGTATTTTATTTTTTTTTATTTGTTCTATTTCATTGATTCTATCGAAGTAATTCTCGATTTGAAACCCCTCCACTAGCCTGCCTCCCCTCCTTTCTTTTTTCCTCTCATTGTTATCTGCGGTATCATGGCCGTCTTACTCTTAGCTGTGCCCCATTCGGGCTAGGACTGCACGGGAAACCATGTAAAACCTCAGTCGCACAGCCGGCCGATTTGTGCAGTGTCCTAATACATCCATCTGTCACACTGACTAGATGGAGACACTAGGCCGCTACACCGTACCTACCGCCCGCAATTTTTGTGCGAGCGAGGTGTTCCTAAGCGGTCACCCATCCAAGTACTAACCCAGCTCAACGCTGCTTAGCTTGGATGTCCGCCGGAGCAACACCTCACCCACCTAACCATTACAGTCAGTACGTCTCTGTATATTAGACATGGGATGCGCGCGCAGAAAGTAGGTTAGCTTGTCTTACATACGTCGTGTGATTGGTGGGCTAGCGGTTAACCAGTGACGTGACGTCATGAGCGTTTTAAAAGTATGCAATTTTCAATAATTAACTAGTAATTATTGTGCAACTTTTTGAAAGTTTAGATTCTAAAAATATAATATTGAGATGATGACCTTTCGAAATAAAAAATGAACAAAATTCATGCAAGTTCCCTATTAGTATTATAATTTAAAGCCTATGTTAGAACATGAACCTTGGACCAATTTACAGTGAAAATGTCACTGGAATCGATTCAGTTGTTTTAAAGTGAATCGCGAATGGAACAAGGCCCCAGGATGATTAGATGAAAGATAAGAAGAAGCAGACAACTTTATCGATTTACAGTGGTTACTCCCTAAAATTTCAGCCTCTGGGGCTAGAATTAAAGGAATCAAATGTTCGGGAAGCCCTTACTCTTCCGGTGGTGGCGGAACTGGGAAAGAGATAAACAGAGAGAAAGAATCTGCCTGTTTCATTCGCACATGCCAAGAATAATTTTACTGCGCAGGCCCGTCGCGCAGAGGGACGCACAGATTTACCCAAATACATTTACGTTGTTGATGGTGGGGGAAGTCAACTTCTCCAACTGAAATGTTAGGGAACCAAAATGTTAGGGAGTAACGACTGTAAAAATCGAAGTGTGTTCATAGTACTTCAATCTTTGATTTGATGTGAACCTTCTGATCCTCACGTTGGGTGTAGGGAATACTTAAGACGTATTATCACTAATTTTCTTCGGTAGTCCACTACTCAATTGATAAAACCGGAAGTTATTAGATGAATATTTTCGTTGAACCTCTTTATTATATGCTTATTTTCTATAAGAAAAATGCCATTGAAAAACTTGTTCAAAAACCTGGTGAGTAACGGAGTCTTATAACTCTAATATAATCAAGGGTGTATCTATTATTGACGGCGTAAAAATTTCCAAACCTCAGTATTAAATTTTCCCAACTTTCATTCAAAATTAATTAACCACCGATTTTACTAATTCAAAAATACCTTCATACAAGACCGACAGCAGTGCTTCTTGAACTCCGAAATTGCACAGTACTTCTTTAAATTGGGAACGAAGCAGTAACGACTTTTGTTATTTTTGCAAAATGTTTCACAACCGGAGGTACGTCGTCCCTGGCCCCTGCAGGGGCGCAGTTCTCCTGGAGATTGTGTGCTGGTGCAGTTGAAGTGGGTTTCCCCTTCCGGCGGTACACAACGCGCCATTCGCGATTGCACCCCTCGGCCACAGCTCTGAGAACACTAGAAAAAAAAGTAAACTCTAGAAAAAAAATTCCGACATTTTCAAAATCATTAAAGATTCTTGTAAGTCATTCGATCAAATAATGTCATATAAAAATCAGCCTCCCTAATTTAAAAGATTGTGCGGTTGGTCGATGTCCCGCATTTTAATTAAAGAGTATCCACGAGCTTGATCGAGTTTACCTAACAATTGTAAGATCTAATTAAACGTGTGTAGATATACTTACAACTCAATCTAACTAGAGAACAAGTTCACCTACAACTTACATTCTACTCAATATTCGTAAATTTGTAAAAAGGAAAACTCAATTGTAAATACTGTGATGAGGCGCGATTTTCATAAATTCGCCGCCGGCTATCCCTTTTGATACTTGGGGCGCCATCCGTCATTCTGGGGGATAATAAGAATCCCAGGTGATGGGTGATGTCATCAGGAGCAAAGAAAGTGGGAGAAAATTGTCCCACTCGCTTTTTTCGGTGAGCTCTTGACGAGTACACACGTGTTTTGTACCCGATGTCGGGGTTTTTGAGAATTGTTGAATTAAAAGTAGTAAAAATCCTCAGTAAGGAGTTGTGAAAATAGTGAGAAGGGTAAGACTCGATTCAGGGTCCGATGAAGACGATCGAGTGGCCGACATCGAGGAATTAACGACGATTTCCCGAGTGGAAATTGCCTCAGACCCGCCTGAAGCACGATCAGAACTTGATCAGGTTTATGTAAGGTTCGACTGATCCGGTGATTCCTGATGAGAACCTGACCAAGTTTTGATCCAGTAGATCGGATCTGAAAAACTACAGGCGGGTTCAGATCAAGTTCTGATCAGGTAGACTTGATCAGATGATGCCTGATGAGAACCTGACCAAGTTTTGACCCAGTAGATCGGATCCGAAAAACTGCACGATGATTCAGATCAAGTTCTGATCAGGTAGGCACGATCTCACCCTGAGGTCGGCTGCCTAACCCCAATTTGATCAAATTCGGATTTGATGTCCTTGATCGGCATTTGAAAGGGGTCAATTGAAGAGAAAACGATCAGATTCAGATTCGCTCCACCTGACATTAATTTTAATAAGTTTTTCGGATAATTTAATTAACTATTATTATACTATTCAAATTAAGTTTTATCAACCATTATCAATAATTATTTTCAATCTTTAAAAAGGATCATTATACTATAATTAAAATAAATTAAATTAAATTAATTTAATTTAATGAATTTAATTTAATTAATCAATTTAATTAACAGCCAGCCCTTCTCAAATGTACAGAAGGGAGGGATGATGATGCCGTAAATACGTATTAGAGGAGTATCAAACTTACACGCGAATGATTTTGAGAAAAATATTACCAAATGTCTATTTATTTATTAGTATTATTGTTATTATCATTATTATTATTCATTAATGAAATAAATAAAAATTTAATTGAACATATTTCATCTCTGAGAATACACACGCACATCCGCGAGATCAGAAATAATCGTAAATTCAACGAATACCCCGATACAAATCATATAGGCAATGTACAAGCGGATAGGCCTAAATCGACGTTTGAAATTTCATTTTTCGATTCCTTTATCATAAAGTTGATTGACAATAAATGATTGTTCTGATTGTTAACTTTTTATTCGCGTTGCGATTGATTAATTGATTGATTGATTGATTAATGGTTATTGTGCCTTACAGCGCTCACTTGAAGGTAGCCGCGCGCATGATTGCCTAGTTTCACTATAAAGTTGAGGTGAAAGAGGAAAATTTGCATCATTTGAAAAAAATTCCGATCAACAATTCTGTTTTTAATTTTTTTTAAAGGCTTTGTATACGATATTTCGTCGACTGGCCCGTATTCATTTTTCGAAAATCCAATCTTTTTACAGTCGAGCAAACTTCTGTATTTTTTTTACTGATGAGAACGCAACATTTTTGATAATTAAGATAATTTAGTTGCTGCACCTATGTCGAAATAAAATAAACAAAGATTTTTTTTAGAAGAGAATGGGGCGAGGTAAAGGTTTCTGATCCACTTCAATCCTTGATATCTTCGTTCATAAATAGAGATACAGTCGAGGCCTTATATAAGATACCTCTCTGTAAGATACCGCGAGCTCCGAGCGCTCGAGGCCAACCCTCACTCTCGGCCCTTTTATCGCCTCCCGAATGTTTAGTTCTGTGGGCTTCTTAATACCTATGGCTTCGATCATTTTGCAACGCAAAAGGGTGATTATGAAGATCAAACGGAGTTAAGGAGAACTCTGGTGAAATTTAATTCTTCGGTTGATGAAAATAGCTATCGAGCGACTTTTTATATCTCATGGAGTACTTAAAAAACTAAGAAAAATTTCGTACCCAACCCATTCAGAACATCAGACGAACACGCCGTTTTTCGTGTTTTTGGTTTTGAAATGCTCCTCGCATCACAACTTTGATGTGATTCAAACTTTTATATTTCCAAAATGTTCGTCAGATTCCAGAGAATACAACGAGGTATTTTTTTCGATTATCTCAATTAGATCATGAAAAAACAATTTTTTTTCGGTTTGCTCGTTATTTGTTTTTTTCATACCGTATAAAAATTATTATTGAGTAGTTATATATGAAAATAGTATATAAAAGTGTTTTTAGGAGAAAAATTTTGATGTTCAACTACTTCAAACAGTCACTTTTTGTTTACACTCTAAAAAAAGATTACTTCTGATAAGTAGGAAAACTACTTGTATTCAGTACCGAGGGGTTTCTGGAGAAAAGGTAATTTTTTTACTTGGTTCAAGTCGAAAATCGACTGAATACAAGTTTTATGCTCCAAGTACAATTGGTACTGGTGACAAGTACCAACTGTACTCATCGACGGGAAGAGAGTAGTTATAAGGATCAAACGGTCTTAAAGGTCAAACTGGAGGAACAAACAAAGTGATTATGAGGGCCTAATGACCTTAAACGGGGAGGGGGTCACATCACTTTTTTTAAGTAATAGAAATATACATCGATTTTTTTTTCACTCTTCCCATCGAAAAATCGTAATTTTTCGTCTATTATTATTCTCGAGTCCACCAACAATCCCCCAACATCAGATGCCATTCTATTACGCGGGGTTATGTTTAGAGAGAAAAGGGAACGCGGGCGATACAAATTCAATGCATTAAACACATAAATAGATTAGTGATCGATATTAATTCAGTGAAAATTAAAAGTTCATTGAATTTGGGCGCAACGAGCCAGGTATCTTATTTGAAACCCGCTGATCCCTATTTTTCTTCTCTCTATGGGAGCGCGTAGTGGGGGCATAGGGGATTCCGGAATTCCACTCTCCTACTGTCCCTAAGGTATCTTATACGAAGCCTTCATAACAATTGAGAACTTCCCATGCGGAGCAAAATGTCAAGACTTCGATCACGCACTGCCCAAATTACGATTAACTTAAAAAATTCAACATGAATTCCTCCCTATACTCTCAAAAAATTTGCAGATGCAACTGACCATATAAATACCTTGAAGAATGCGAATTAAAAATCTAAAATGTAAAAAGGAGTCTAATTGTAATAAGCGTAATAAATTGAGGAATGTAAAACAGCAACGCTAGTGTGAATACTCTACTATCAGTTTTACCAGCGCTTTAAATAACAAAAAAACTTTGAGAACTTTGAATAAATGATTTTGAATATTTACTGAAGACCAATTGGTGAAGACCCAAGCACCCTCGCAGGGGATTCTGTTGCAGTTCTGCTGGCTATCAGGCTGAAGGTGCTCTTTACATAGATTAGGAGGTAGCATTGATTTGTAAACTTGAATTTCGTTCTCTTTTGTGAGATTTTTGAAGGGAAACGACGAGTGGACGCAGTATAGTTGTCTCTGCTGGATTCCGTGGGCTCCACAGGTGCGGGTGCAGCCTTCCCAGGGTCCGACGATCCATTTGAAGTCACAGCTAATTGAAAAATAACAGGATATTAGTAAATGAATTTTTAATAATTGAGAATAAAAACACCTTGTTAATGCTGAGTCAACATTTTTACAACTAGCACCAAGTGCACCAAGCGCTGGTAGATATTTAAATCGTTGGGTTAAATTTGTTTCAATGTAAACCTTATGGGTTAACTAGCCACTGGCATGATTACGATTTCTTTGGCGCAACGATTTAACTTATGTTTTTCGTACAATTTTTCTCCAGGATTACGGGAAAAATAATGAAAAAATTCCATCTCCATTATTTCTCCTGGATTATAGAGATTCTTCACAGAAGACGGAGGGTTATATAGCCTTCCACATCTTGTGGCATCACTGTATATTGCTGGATAAGATTTTGAAGTAGATATGAAGGGAACCAGGATGATTGAAAGATCAAACGAGCCCGCCGAACATGGGCGAAGTTTGATTGAAATTATATGAAGAGTCTCGTTCTCGATGATAATTATTGTAGTTATGCTTGCCATGCCTAACATCACAACGTTTAACGCCTATAAGTTCACATTTTGGCGCCCCGCGTCATCTTATCCCTAGAGTGACTTTCCTCTTACTTCATATTGTTTTGTTCAACGAATATTCGAATTATCACGGTGTAGAGGAGATGATAATGGGTATGATTTATTCTTTTGAGTAATTTCTTAGGGTGGGAGATTATCATCTTCGAACGAGACTATTCATATAATTATAAAATAAATGACGAAAGGCGTTATAATGCTTCGGCACAACGAAACAATATGAAGTAAGAGGAGAGTCACCCTAGGGATAAGATGGCGCGGGGCGCCAACAATTTGAATTTATAGGCGTTAAACGTTGTGATGTTAGTCATGGCAAGCCTGACTACGATAATTATCATCGAGAACGAGACTCGCAATATAATTCTCAATATTAGTTGGCAAGACAAATTTACTGAAACAATTCGAAAGTTCAGACTGAGATTTGAACCCGGGACCTTTCGATTATATAGCAGGTGCTCTCCCAACTTAAGGTAAGGTCACAAGGGTCACAAAAAAGGAGTCACTAGGGTCACGAAGTCACAAGGGCCACATAAAAAAAACAAGTCGCTAGGGTCACGAGGGTCACAAGGGTGATTCTGCCTTGTTTAAATGCGTTTTTGACTGAAAATTCTTCTGTGGGAGATTTTTTTGTACTGAATTTTCGCGATTATTGCAATTTTTTCAAAAAAAAAATTCAATCACAAAAACCTCCAACAAAAAACATTCCATTAAAATTGAGTTGTGTTGTTGTAAATATAATCATTGAATTTAAATGTGAGAATGTGAGTGCATGAAATGGTATGTCAAGTGCCTATACGAAGCTTTATGGAAATGTTCGCGTCTTAAAAAATAAGGATTGAAATACTTATATCCCAAAAACTAATTGAGGGAATTTTTTTTTTAATTTTTCCCGCATTCCTGAGGAAAAATGGTACAGAAATTATATGTCATGTAGCGGCGCCAAAGGATCGTAATCTTCCCTTTTAGAACTATTTGACTAGGTTTCCAATAATTTATTATTTAATTATCGGATAATTATTCTATTTGTCTTTCATTTTATTCTGCTCATTTTCGTTGATTTGGTCGCAATTTTTAAATCTCTAGTTCATTAACTCATTCCGTAATTTTGGTCCAGTCAATTACCTGAACACATTACACCTCTCAACATCACCCAGTGGTTTCGCAATAGTCAAGCACCTCCTCTTATGAACTATCCTCCCATTTCCATCATTCCTGCACGCAGTGGTCTTCTGACGTACTCCACCCCCACAACTAACCGAACAAGGACCCCAGCCCCCAGGAACCCATGAATATTTATCGATCCTCTTCTCGTCCTCACCGTCAGTCAAGTATGTTAGGGATACAGATATGGATGACCCTCTCACCGCAGTCTCTGGCACAACTACCTTGAACCAAACGAGGGAGATAATTTATCAACACCACCCTGACTCAACGAAACACTTCATTGCCACATTTTACTACTTCAATCTCGACTTAACATTAGATAATAATTCGCTTTCGTTATATTGTGAATTGTTACGATTTTTAGTAATAATAACCAAAAAACTGTAATTAATAACTTATTAATCATCAGGGTTTAAAATTAATTAATCATCAGGATCTAAAATATTACATTCATTATGATTGCAAAATTTTGCATCACGAAATTTACATCTTTGGAAGCATCAATTACAATAGGTAAACTGAATAAACTGGATGAATTAATTACGATGCATAAACAATTATTAAAAAGAATTGGAGATTAAACAGATTTATTGAAAAAGAAATGAAGAAATACATAAATAAATAATTTAAATATGAAGATTAGGATGTTATTAGAAGAGAAATTTTAATAAAATGGTACCAGCCTCATCGATAATGATGATAATTGATTAATAATTAATCGGCAATTGACATTGTTCGATGCCGGATTTGGTTTTGGTGGGCTATAGGAGCGATGGACGAGATATTAGTGGATTCCGGAATGGAGAGAAGTACAAGAAATCACTTCACACGCGCTGGTCAAGAAATAGTTAATTTAATTGTCACAAGAAAGTCACTAATTGTCAATATTTACACGAGTAATTTTAATTATAATACAGGTCAAAATATTAGCGCGGGTCACAATTAATAAGCGCAGTTCAAAGAAATTAAATAACGCAAAACACTAAATTCACAAAACTCAACGTAAATACTGTAATCGATACGATGGTCGATAAGCAAACGAGAGCGATTAAAGTGCCGTAAGGTGGCAGGTGACAATCATCGAAGGTCCGAACGTGACCCAATTTCAGGTACTTCCGCAGTAAGCTCAAAAAACATAGGAGTGGGGATAAAGATTGTGTACTCTAACCTCGTTTTTACGTCCTATCCTCCAATGTATAACCACCAAAAACATCATGATTTTGACGCACATTTTGAATAACAACTCATGATTCTTGTGGTCATGAATAATGAAATTGCAGGAATGTATTTTGGAAAGATGTACGATGCGATAAATCAAGTATTTGGATTCTTAGCGTATTGTCCATGGTATTGTAATTATGGGATTTATCAGGATGAAAGTCAATGAAAACAGAGAGTTAGGTAAAACTGAACTATTTATTTGAGAGGTCTTCATGGCTCTTCTCTCCTCGAGAGACTGACTCTTTAGAGAGAAACTGCAGTGCTCCTTTGCCCTCTGGCCTCCATGGTTTTCCCTTGTCACCATGTATCGGACAAGGGTCCGTTGTTCTTGAAATTTGCGTGTGTAAGGGACACAGGCCCCACATATATATAAACCGCTCGTAAAAGAAAATACTGGGAAAGAGAAAATAATTTGGAATGTACGACGCAGTAGAGAAGTAAACAGTTGAGTGATTTTATAAATTCCAATACATGGTCGTCATTTCCCATTGAAATGTGTCTCATAAGGCTCTGTACACATGACAATTTTAATTTTTTTCTCTACAAAAATCAATGTGGTAAATCGTGTTGGGACTTTCGGGACAACTTTCTAATTTATTGAAAGAATATATTCTCAAAATTTCAACCCTGTACATTTCCTTCTACTCCCATATGACTACTGTGGAAGTACCTTCAATGGGGGCGTTCACACGACAGCTGTCCACATGTGGCGCCTCAGGTGCCAAGATCATATAATAAGTTACTGATCATCTAAGGTGAGCATCACGTATGAAAAAATCGTATAGAACTTTTCTATACGGATTGCGTATGGAATTTCTATAGGATTTTCGTATATGATATTCGGATATTTCTATACGGATATTTTTTATACAAATTATTTCTATAGGTTTGATCCCGAGGGGCTATTCATAGGCGTAATCGTGGTGTCACTCACTGATGTAATCAATTGTAATCCCAGTGAAATCAGTATAATCATTGTAATCACATGATTACCACATTTGTAATCAAGTTTTGGTAATCAAGTGGTAATCATTTGTAATCACTGTAATCATTGGTAATCAGTGTAATCTTTCGTAGTTGCTCCTAGTGAAACCGTGACTTTTGTTTTTGAATTTTCGAGCGCGTCATTTCTACCAACGATAAGTCTCAGAGATCCCTGGATTAATTTTTCTTGGAATCCCAGATGTTTATGGTTAAGCACCTTGCATAGCCAATGCGTTTTGCACAGAGCATTTGTCCGTAGAAAAATGATTCAACAGAGTTAAAATTTCTTCTTATTCTAGATAACCAACGACTGAATTATTTCTGAATTATCTACTGGTAAGTTTCATTCTCCATCAATGGAGAATGAAATATTCAGTAAATTTATTTTGCTGATAGCACTTATAAATGCCCAAATTTTTAGATGTAGTGATGGAGACTGCATTCCTCTGTTCTAATCCCCGCCCCTCCTTCCTCATTTCTTTGCAGGTTCTAATAATTAATTATTCCATCAATCCATATTTAAAAAGAGAGGTCATTTTTTGTGATTTCAATGATTACAGATGTTTGGTAATCACAGAACGTAATCGACGAAATCATTTGTAATCATGTAATCACATTCTGTGCTGTGTGAGAAGTCATGCGTGCGTGTGAGCGGATTGAGTGTATGGGAGTGCGTTATTCGGTTAATAACCGAACAGGCATCGATATATGTAAATATTTATGGTGGAGCGGGCTCAATATATCTAGAAGCGACAGAAATTATGAAGGAATAATTTTTTAAGTTCTTACGTTTAAAAGGGAACCATTTTTTAATTAATTAATTTATGATGAATCCATGAAGGATGTTTATCCATAAACGCAACTACTAAAAATATTTGTATTTTTTTTCCAATTAATAAGGAGATGATTCTAATCCACCAGCCTGAGTTGAATATTCAGATGTAAAATGGACAATATGCCCTGAACATAGATGTTAACATGATTTTTCCATTCCCCTATATATATATATATATATATATATATATATATATATATATATATATGTATTTTTGTTTTTCGGCGTCTTACCGTACGTAAATTAGCAATTTGACAATTAATCCCAAAACCTGTGCTTGTGAAAAAATGTATTTATTCAATTTTGTTAAGGCTTCTACTATCAATTCTTCGTAATTATCAGAAATGTTGGTTTGATATATTTCTCCATCATTCTAAAAAATTACAGAATTTTCCTGGAATAGGAAAAAATTTGATTTTCATGAAGTGGATCAACATCTGTAAATGAACAATAACTCAATTAATTAATTATACTTGTCATTTTTACTTTCATTTGGACGAGATTTCACGTATTCATGTTGTAATGAATGATCAATCAATTAATTTATGAATAACCTAATTGACTGATTATTTTTGGAATTTTTTATTTTCGCTTGAATGATTTGGATTTAATTTGGATTTTTTGGGAACATTTCAATGATTAAAAAATATTCTTCGATCCTCTCCTCGTCCTTACCGTCTGTCGAAAATTTCTGACAAACTATCTTGAACCAAATGAAAGAGAAAATTCACCCCAACTTGAAGAAACTCTTCATTTCCCTTTTTACCCCAATACTACCCAAAGAATAAAAAAATTATGTCGTCAAAGGAAATTAAATTTTTACTCACTGAAATGATCACTTCTGCCAACGTGGGACCCTTTGCACTGATTGTGAATCTATTCTGAGATCTCTGAACTTGGAATAAAGTTCCTTCGACAACGAGAGAATCGAAAAGCGCCTCGTGCTTTCGTCTATGCCCATCTCGAAGTAAAAGTTTGAAGGTTTCATTTCTCTCAATCAAAACGTTCATTTCTACGTCTAGGTTTATGTTGTGGGCGTTTTTCGGTAGAACTGCAGCTCGTGTAGTTACTGGATGATAATATAAAAGAAAAGGAAGTGTATGAACTAATATTATGAACTAATATTACTAATAAATATTATGTTTCATGTTAATGGAAAACTTTCTATCAAGATTAATAACTAGTTCTGGAAAAAAATGCAAAGACTTGTCATCAATATTAATAACAAATTTTCTATAAGATGAACAAAGATATTATGGACACAAACTTCAAAACTATTTTGTCATCTCAACAAATAAATGTTCGAAAAAAAAATAGTAGGGAAACGGCTGAAATGGACTACGCAAATATTGTCCTTCGACCCTAACTTCTCTTGTAGACTTGGAAAAATCCTCTGAGATTTATCTCTATACTCACTAGTTTCATAGATAAACCTGATATATTAAATATGTATCATGAGCGAACAATGAAAAGTTGGGTCTCAAGTGCTCAAGATAGGAAGTTCCGTAATATCTTATTGCCTAGAGTCATCCAACCAGGTAGATTCAAAGTTTAAACGTCACGTGCAACGATCCATGCCCCATTTCTCAAACTTTACCACAAACTTGAAGGACTCTGCATGGTTCACACGATGTTAGAGAGGTTTAAATTTGATTATTATGGGCTATGTATAGATCATACCTCTTCGAATCCTGCGGTGAAACTTGTTACTGATTATGATACAGGTAGTATTGTCACCACTGCAAACTCCGCAAGCATCGTAGGTTTCGGGGGAATTGAGGATCTTGTCGCAGCCCATTTTATGACATTCTCCCTGGAATTTTCATTGTGTTAAAAGCAATCTTGGAATTGATTTATATAGTTATAGAACCAACCAGTATTCGAACGAATAAGTTTCAAGCTAATTTTAACATATCCAAAAGAGAAAGATACCTGGGCTTTCACGTAACGAAAAAATCGTATAGAAATTTTCTGTACGGATTGCGTATAGAATTCCTATAGGAGTTTCGTATATGATATTCGGATATTTTTTATACAAATTATTTCTATACGATTTCAATAGGGTTGATCCTGTACGACCCTCTCCCAGATGAATAGAAACATTTCGTATGGAGTCGCGACATTTCTCTACATTTTTCTTTCGGGCGTTTAGACAACTTCCGTCCGAAAACAAAAATTTATGTAAAAATTTATGCAGAGGAAGTTGGGGTAAAATGGACACTTTTGGCTTTTTTAAAATGCTAATGAGAGCTTGAAATGTTGATGAAATTCGTTTTTTTTAAACGCAAAGAGCATTTCTTTTCCCTTTGTAATGAGCCTAAACTGAGCTCAATTGATAAATTTGTTTCTGAGATATGAGTAATTTAAAAAAAGTCCAAAGTGTCCATTTTACCCCATTCTCCTCTCTAGAAATAATTCGTTCAGAAAATATTCGTATAAATATATCCGAATATCATATACGGAAATCCTATAGTTTACGTAAATCCTCCCAAGTGGAAATTTCGGTCAGGTCTTGATCAAGTTTGGATCAGGTTAGACCTGACCACTGATCAGGTATTCATCAGAAATGTTACGCCTCTGACCAATCCGGATTTGATCAGGACGAATGGATCCGAACTTGATCAAGCCAACTGTATGAAAACCGGATGACCTGTCTGTCAGTATCAATAACAATTATCAATGATAATTAATCCAAAATAAAAGATAATTCAATTCTTTCACCGTAGGCCGCCTCTCTTAATGAATCTCTACTGTTATTACCTTTGAAAAAGCTTATAATTTTTTTACCGATGCTGGGGATCGAACCGGGGACCCTATGATTGCTGATCCTATGCCCTAACCACTACGCTATCGTGCTATTACTATTGAGTAAACTGTACATTGCCTGTATGATTTGTATCGGGGTATTCGTTAAATTTACGATTATTCCTGATTTCGCGGATAAGCGTGTGTATTCTCAGAGATAAAATATGTTCAATTAAATTTTTATTCATTTCATTAATGAATAATAATAATGATAATAACAATAACACTAATAAATAAATAGACATTTGGTGATTTCGTTCTCAAGATCATTTGCGTGTAAGTTTGATACTCCTCTAATACGTATTTACTGCATGATCATTCCTCCCTTCTGTACGTTTGAAAAGGGCTGGCTGTTAATTAAATTGATTAATTAAAATAAATTCATTAAATTAAATAGATTAATTTAATTTATTTTAATTATAATATAATGATCCTTTTTAAAGATTGAAAATAATTATTGATAATGGTTGATAAAACTTAATTTGAATAGTATAATAATAGTCAACTAAATTATCCGAAAAACTTATTAAAATTAATGTCAGGTGGACCGGATCCGCATCTGATCATTTTCTCTTCAATTGATCCCGTTCAAATGCCGATCAAAGACATCAAATAGGAATTTGATCAAATTGGGGTCAGGCAGCCGACCTCTGAGTGAGATCGTGCAGGTGCTGATCTACCTGATCAGAACTTGATCTGAATCATCCTGCAGTTTTCCGGATCCGATCTATTGGATCAAAACTTGGTCAGGTTCTCATCAGGCATCATCTGATCATGTCTACCTGATCAGAATATGATCTGAACCCGCCTGTAGTTTTTCGGATCCGATCTGCTGGATCAGAACTTGGTCAGATTCTCATCAGGCATCATCTGATCATGTCTATCTGATCAATACTTGATCTGAACCCGCCTGTAGCTTTTAGAATCCAATCTGCTGGATCAGAACTTGGTCAGGTTGTCATCAGGAATCACCGGATCAGTCGAACCTTACAAAAACCTGATCAAGTTCTGATCGTGCTTCAGGTGGGCCTGAAGCAATTTCCACTCGGGCCATTGTTTCTTTGTTTTTTATGCTCAAGTTCTTGTCTCTCTTCTGTTGCGTGTCTAACACGCAAAATTACACAAAATCTTTTAATTTTTTTTTAGAAATTTTCCATTTACGAATCAAGCACTTTTTCCCCAATAAACTCGTGAAATTTTCAATCATTTCAGTTCTGTCGTTCAGAGAATAATATAAACATAAAAGTCATTCAAATATTTTTCCAAACATTGCTCACTTGAATATTTTTTTTAAATTTTATTGACTGCAATTGGTACCACTTAGCAGGGAGATCAAAATTCAAAATTCTTGGTATCGTTTCGATCTCGCTGCAGTATGGTTTCAACTGGGTCTCGTCTCGTCTCAGTCTCGCCTGAGTCTGGGAAATTGAAGCTTAGTCTCGTCTCGTCTCGTTGATCCCGTTCAATTGAGAGAAAAACGAAAATTTTCCCTCTTGTTTCAAGACCAGGAAGGTCAAACCTCACAAGGTTCATGCCTTGTTGATGATAAAAGTTTGGTACTCGAAATCGAGCCTCCGAAGATAAGGGTTCACAAGGGTGATGAGGGTCAAAATAAGGGTCACCAGAGTCAAAATGAGGTTCATGAGGGTCAGGATAAGGGCTAAAAGGGTCAGAATAAAGCCCGAAATAAGGGTAACACGGGTCAGATTAAGGGTTGAAATAAGTATCACAAGGGTCAAAGTAAGGGTCATCGGGGTCAGAAACTAAGGGTCAAATTAAAGGTCTCAATATCTCTCTACATTATAAACTAGGGGGCTTCGCCCCCTGCTCGCGTCGCTCGCCGACCTCCGGGGAGGGGGTTCGGCCCCCCGCTCACTTCTCTCGCTCCCCCCCTTTTCCTGTCATCATATGGGTATGACCATGAGGGTTTTTTCAGTAGCTTCATTATTCGAATTTCGTCGTAAAAGGGAAGGAACATAATAAATCTTACAGTTTGTATATGAAGATTCACAATTTTTTATTGATCAAAAAAATTCATTGAATCAAGAGAAACGATAGAAAAATAAGAACATAAATATATTTATAATTTATCGAGAACAGAGAAAACAGAAAAAACGGGACCAGTCAGGCAAACCTGTTTAGGGCAACAGAAATAGCAGGAAATAAACCCTGATCCGACCTTGGCCTGACCTTAGGCCCGACCTTGGCCCGACATTGGGGGCGTCGCCTGAATTTGCAGCGTCCCCTGAATTTTCAGCGACGCCTGAATTTTTTGGCCTTATTTTTTTACTATTGTGACGTTATGAGTTATTTGATCGTTTTTATAACTCATGTTTCACTCCGACCTCGGCTAGTCTCGGTGAGCTCACGGGTGGTTCGCTCAATCGGAGGGATAAGTGAAGGATAGAGGGAGGGTTAACGATATTAAACCGACCGTACTGATGTTGGTAAAATAACTATATATTAACTTTAATTTATACACGGTAGTGTTTAATGGGTCGGTATAACGCGGTTCTTGACTCGACTTTGGGACCTTGACTCGACTTTGTTATTGGTTGGCTGAAGGCCTGAGCTCAGAGATCCGCTCTGTTTCGCTCCTGATCGTACTCTAGATTTTTGGCTAGGAGAGGACGTCCGTCCATCTTCAACTCCTGCCGTACTCTGACGTACTCTGGTGCTTTCCGAGTCGTCCAAACTCGTCAAAGTCCCAAAATGCTTACCTAAGCAATCCCACGGTTTTCTTCACTAATACGGTTTCGTGCATTCGTTTGTATAGAAACCTACACAGTCAAACAGTTCAGCACCCTGAACTGGACCTGTAGAAACCGTGGAACTGCTTACGCTGGTGTCCATGGGACACCGTGGGACTGCTGAGCAATCTTTGGATGAAGGGAATGAGAAACCTCGTTTCCCGTTCCCATCGTCC